AAGATAAAATTCTTTTCTAAAAGAAATCAATAAAACCAGAACTAAGGGGGATGATTGGGAAAAGGAGGAATTCAGTATATCTGTAGAATCTTCTTTCTTTTTCATGTGTTGTATGCTGAAAATCAATAAAATTTGTTATAAAATAATAAACCCAAATGAACAAGTAATATCCTATAAATGACTAGGTCACACTCTTAAACCAAATTATCTTCAGTAGTGCTTACACATCAGTTCCTAAACTTCACGATGCTAGGCACCTGTCTTAAGTTTTGCTGCAATGAAGTGGTATAAGATGATAAATAAATAGCTTTTGGCCCTGGTCTTACCAAAAGGTAACCTCAGTGCAGATTTCCCCACCCAACTCCCAGAGTGTCATTCATCTCATTTTGGTCAAAGTGAATTAATGTGTCACTGTCAACTCCTCCTCCCAGTCTCACACTTCCCTAAGTACCATCAAGTTTTCTGCTTTCATTCTGCACAATGGTCCTTGGTTGATCATCTCCATTAAAAGCATGGGTGAACAACCTTTTGCCTGTTAGTTAATATGAGATGTGCATGGGGCCTGGTGGAGGTTGGGGGGCAGAGTGCTAAACAGTGCCCTCTTTTCAGACTTATCCCTTTTTCTCTCCCTCTCTCTTTATCCAGTGGGATGTAGGAAGAGGCACAGGTGTCTCTTCTTAGAGGTCTGAACCAACAGCCTGGTGAGGGCCATATGAAATTAACCCGAGGGCCACATACTGGCTATGGATAACACACTCCTGACCTGAAGATTACCAAGAGCTATTGTAGCCTATCAAGCCTCTTAAAAGGTAAAGGTACCCCTGACCGTTAGGTCCAGTCGCGGACGACTCTGGGGTTGTGTGCTCATCTCGTTCTATAGGCTGAGGGAGCTGGCATTTGTCCGCAGACAGCTTCCGGGTCATGTGGCCAGCACGACTAAGCCGCTTCTGGCGGAACCAGAGCAGCACACGGAAATGCCGTTTACCTTCCCGCCAGAGCGGTATCTATTTATCAAGCCTCTTAAAAGGTAAAGGTACCCCTGCCTGTACGGGCCAGTTGTGACCGACTCTGGGGTTGCGCGCCCATCTTGCTTAAGAGGCTGGGGGCCAGCGCTGTCTGGAGACACTTCCGGGTCACGTGGCCAGTGTGACGAAGCTGCTCTGGTGAGCCAGCACTAGCGCAGCACACGGAAACGCCGTTTACCTTCCCACTATAAAGCGGTACCTATTTATCTATTTGCACTTAGGGGTGCTTTTGAACTGGTAGGTGGGCAGGAGCTGGGACCGAATGACGGGAGCTCACCCCGCCGCAGGGATTCAAACCGCCGACCATATGATCGGCAAGTCCTAGGCACTGAGGTTTTACCCACAGCGCCACCCGCGTCCCTACTGTGGGACCTACATGAGCCTTAATCTGAGCCAGAAGGGCACCACTTAAGTTCTTAAGCTTGGGATCATTCTACTGCAAAGAGATTCTGAGTATGTATTCTTGCTTTACAAATTCTGGATCCAGAGTATTCACCAATAATAAATAAATTTAAAAATACCCCACCTATTTCAGGAGTCAGCCCACCTCTTAAGAGAGTAGTGTTGGAGAACAGACAGAGCAGCTAAAACAAATCTATACTTATATAAGCTAATTCCTTTTTTGTGAATCAGCCCAATTAAATTGCAAATAATTGTACTATTAATGTTCCTATCATGCTTATTTCATTAACTAATCTATAATATGCTTGGACTTTAATTTTCCGCCGCTTAATTTATCTTTCCTTAATACAGGAGTTGGAAAGGCAGAAACATATGTGCACCGTTCTGCAGCATAAGATGGATGAACTTAAAGAGGGTCTTCGCCAGAGAGACGAACTAATAGAGGTACATGTTCATACTTGGCAAATAACTTGCATTCAAGATAAAATCTGCTTTTTCTGTTGTCTAAAATGCTTTCATTCAGGAAAGACTGCAGCATGTGCTGTTTCTGGCACTTGGGTGCCGGTTTATAAAGAGCTAGAGCAGTGTGCTGGGATCAAAAGAAGTCATAACACCATCAGACAAAAAGCAATGTGTCACATGTGCCTGTTTGGCAAGCCTCTTAGATCCTGCTTAAATCTTGGGTAGTCCTGATCCAGAGGGGTCGGCCACTTGTTTGTAGCCAGAGCTACGGGGCAAGGGCTAACCAGGCCTTTTGCCCTGAATGAAGCCTCCCGAGGGGCGCCATTGAGGCTCCCAGCCTGTGTGTGTACGCAAATGTGCATAGGGTGTGTGTCAAACTGTGCCTTTGACCAGGGTGAAATAAAGCCTAGTTTTCTTCCCGCTGTAGCACATGGTGAGAGTGCAGAGTTTTCCTACAACGTCCTGAACGCTTGATATTTGGCTCTGTAAACCTTAATTCACCAACCTGGTGCCCTCCAGGTACTTTGGACATGCGCTGGCTGGGTTGATGGGAGTTGTAGTACAAAACATCTGTAAGGAGCCAGGTTTATTATATATCTATAGAAGTATTTCTAAATCACAAAAGATAACAAAGTTGTTTGTAACATTAAAACCGCTTTGATACGGTTGTCCAAGGATGGTGCAAACCATGTGCACTCCAATTATACCTTGGTAAAGGTAAAGGGACCCCTGACCATTAGGTCTGTGGGAAAATGATTGCTTGTACATGAGAGCATGAGCAAAGTTCTTATTGTTACAGGGTGATTTCATAGCTAGAAGCATCCTTGGAGCATGAACAGCGCGTGAACAGCTCGTGCTGTCCTATATGATTGGCTAACGTGGCATGGCCTGATGCTCGCATAGTCTAGTGCGAAGGTCCTTATCTGCTTGCTAGAACAAATTGCTTGGCTTGTATTTTGTATCTTTCTGATTTCACACAATAAAAGCTGTGCTGCATTAGCCCTAGGAGCAGCTATATTTCAGAACCTATTATGGTGTGAGACTGATTTTTCTTTGGATGCCGAGCTGCAACTCGACATAGGTCCAGTCGTGGCCGACTCTGGGGTTGCGGCGCTCATCTCGCTTTATTGGCCAGGGGAGCCGGCGTACAGCTTCCGGGTCATGTGGCCAGCATAACTAAGCTGCTTCTGGTGAACCAGAGGAGCACATGGAAACGACGCCTTTTACCTTCCCACTGGAGCGGTACCTATTTATCTACTTGCACTTTGACGTGCTTTCGAACTGCTAGGTTGGCAGGAGCAGGGGCCGAGTTGTGGGGATTCGAACCGCTAACCTTCTGATCAGCAAGCCCTAGGCTCTGTGGTTTAACCCACAGCGCCACCCGCGTCCCTATACCTTGGTACTGTACTGCTGTATTTCTGATTTCCCACCCCTCTTCAATAATAGACAAACACCAACCAGTATGGAAAAAAACCTTATTCTGGGCCTCAGAAAAGCGGCCCTTTGTTTTGCACAAACATTTCTAAAATAGATCTCTGCTTCCCTGAGTACCAGCCCAGGCTCAGTGCAACTCTTGCTGCTGTTTCCCAGATGAACGCAGCTGTTTCCACATCTGCAGAATCTGAGCCCAGCCTGTGCGCTAGAACAAGGTGCCAAGTTGATTCCGCCGATCCTCTTCGGTACATGGCAAGGAGGGTCCTGTGCAGGCAGCTGGCGGGTGGAGGGAGGGAGGGAGGCAACAAGCAGCGGGTGGTGCCTCGACTTCCTTTGCACAACACATGAAAGGAATGTGGTGGTGAGCTCATGGCTCCTCGCCCCGCGCGCCCCGCCCCGCGCCGGGTCCTAGCGCCCTGCGCTCAGTCCAACGAGGAGAGAAGAGCGCTTGGGACCCAGGCTTAAAGCTGGCCAATTTCCTGCACTTCCAAAGGACCCAGAAATCCTGACTCCCGAGTCATAGGGGCCGAGGTCCATTCGCCACCCCACCCCATAAATTATTTGAGTCCCCCGCAGTTGATAGGCATTCCCAGTGCTTTTTTCTGGGGGGACGCATACCCCTAAACATTTTGTGAATCTTTGCACTTTTCCCCCCTTCATTTTTTTTACTGATTTTCCAAAAAAATTAAACAAACATAAATCTCAACCGTATTTAAACCAATCTTAGTGACATTGTTAAGTGACTTCCACAAATCCCCTTAGCTGAATTTCAGTGTAGATCATTTTAGCAGTTTTCCTAAACCAATTTTCTCGTAAACCTTTGTACTTTTGTCCATTTACTGTATTTATTTCCCCTGATTTTAACTATAAAATGGTGATTTTCTTGGGTCAAAATGAGAGTACCGCTAAACATTTTTTTAGGGGGCGGGGAGCACTGGGTATTGCCATTCAAATGGTGTGTATGCGCGCTGCGTGTTATAAGGTTTGGGGCACCCCTAAGCCCACCCCGCCCCAAACTATTCTAAACAGCTATGGCTGCAACCGATCCTATGTGCGCCACCTTGGGACTAAAGTCTCACGGACTAATCTCCGATGTTGTGATGCACCTCGAATCATCATCATCATCATCAACACCCAAAGGATCACCATCCACTTCCCGCCTCCCACCGCCGGAGCGCCAAAAAGGACCCAGGAGTCCGGCCATACCCTTCCAACACCAAACCTCTCCGCCACCACCCCGCAAAGCAAAATCCCGAGCCGCAGGCGCCGCGCAGGGCGCGCCTAGAAAGTCAGCGCGAGGCCGCCACGTGGGAAGCTGCAGTAGTCAAGTTACTAGTTCCTGTTGCGCACAGTCCCTGCTCTTTCCCCGGAGTGCCGCCACTCCAGGGTCAGTGCGAATCGTTAAACCGCGGGGTTGTAACCGTGTTGTTGTTGTTGTTTTGGCCCGATCTTGCTTTTGCTTTGCGCTTTGGCGGAAAGGGAGCAGCAGCGCTTCCGAAGGCGCGCCGTGCGTCCTGGGGAGAAAAGCGCACGACCGGAGAGAAGCGGCCCTCCTCCTCCTCGCTTGCCGAGCGCCTCCCTCCGCCACTAGCGACGGGGCCCACCACCCCGGGGCGGGGGCGGAGTGTGGGGGCCGGCGGAGTTTGTTCCGGACGTGGGACCCGCCCCGCAGCGGCTCCCGTTGGCCAAATAGGGAAGCGGAGCGGCCGGGAATCGCCGCGCTTCGCTCCTCGGAGCGCCGATTCGTATCGTGCAGGGAGGAGGGCCCACCCCGGATCTCAGCCATCTTCCGAGGGGCGGCAGGGACGGGAGCCGGCGATGGCAGAGGCAGGGCAGGGGGGCTTCTGAGTTCACCGAGCCGATCCCCCCCCCTCGCCCATGATGAATCCCAAGGAAGGCGCGGCGCCGCTGGAGAAATACAAGCTGGTGGTGGTCGGCGGAGGCGGCGTGGGCAAGAGCGCGCTCACCATCCAATTCATCCAGGTAGGGAGAGCCCAAGGCGGCGAGGGCGGGAGAGCGGGGCCGGGGGGGGGGGCAGATGGCGACAAAAATATATATTTAAAAACCTCCCCAAACTTTACCATATGTTTCCGCGCCGAAGTTCGCGTTCAGGTGACACAGGGCGGTGGTGAAAGCGAAACCTGAGCCAAGATCCTGTGTTGTTGATGAGGATGAGGTTTTTTTTAAAAACTGGGAGGAAGTTTTGCCGCCTTTGCTGGGACGTTTTCCCTCCCCAAGAGAAGCGTTCAGCGCTTGAGCAAGTCCGGACTGCCGACGCTGTGTGCACGTTTACTCGGGAGTAATCCCCGTGGAAGTTCGGTGGGGCTCCCATTAAACGTGCGCAGGAACCCAGTCGCTTGTTTCCCCCTAGCGGCGGAGGCAGGGATTTCTCCTAAGGTGGACCTCGTTGATAGACTCCACTCCCATCATCCCTGACCGTTGGCCACGCTGGCTGGGGCTGGTGGGAGTTGTAGTTCCACAAGTTTCTCAGTCCCTTTTCTAAGCCGATCCCGTAGCTGCCCCCCCCAAAAAAAACAATAGCCAAGATAAGAGGTATTTGATGTTTCCCTATGAAAGGGAAGGGCGATTGGGCTCAGTCCTGAGCAGCCTCAAATTCTTCCTCTGGAGAGGCTGAGATTGCTGTCCGCCTGAACCTCCCCTATTGGGAACCAGGTGATGGGGGGGCAGGTAAGCCCCATCCCACTTAATTGATCCAAAAACACGGCACATGCACGCTGTTTGAATGGCAATGCCGATCAACTTTGGGGGGCCCTCAAATATTTTATTGGGGGGGCAAAGGGACCTTGGCCCCCAGGAGGTTGGGGAAGGGGAGTTATCCCTGGCATGGAATGGAAAGGTCCAAATCAAGTGGAGAAAAAAGGGAGGTACCCAGGACTGGGACCATCAGCATCACACTGTGCTTGTGAGCTTTCTAGAGGCAGCTGGCTCCTGTTGTAAACAAGGGCTGGGCTGGATGGCATTTCCAGCTAAAGGAACTTGCATGTGAGGGCTGGAAAGGGATCTCTGCTCAGACCCTGGAGAGCCACTGTTCAAGTTGATGTGCCCAGGCTAGGTGGACCAGGCAGTTTCAAATGATCAGATGACCTTTGGCTCCGATGCATTAAAGCAAAGCTTGCATTATTTTATAAATTTGGATCTGATCCAGAAAGGCAAACCGTTTTATAAATTTTTTAAGAATGCAGGGAAGGGAAGGACCAGAATCCAAGCTTTGTGTAGCAGACTGCAGAGATCCTTGCAAATAAAGCCACAGACGTTATTAGCATGCTTCTGTTTCATTTTAGTGGTCTGCTAAGAGAGTTAGAGACGCGGGTGGCGCTGTGGGTTAAACCACAGAGCCTAGGACTTGCCAATCAGAAGGCCGGCGGTTCGAATCCCCACGACGGGGTGAGCTCCCGTTGCTTGGTCCCTGCTCCTGCCAACCTAGCAGTTCGAAAGCACGTCAAAGTGCAAGTAGATAAATAGATACTGCTCCAGCGGGAAGGTAAACGGTGTTTCCGTGCGCTGCTCTGGTTTGCCAGAAGCGGCTTAGTCATGCTGGCCACATGACCCGGAAGCTGTACGCCGGCTCCCTCGGCCAATAAAGCGAGATGAGCGCCACAACCCCAGAGTCGGTCATGAGTGGACCTAATGGTCAGGGGTCCCTTTACCCTGGGTAACTCATAAAGTTAGAAGGGATCACAAGAGACATCTAGTCCAACCCCCTCCAATGCAGGAATCTTTCACCCAACGTGGGGCTTGAAACCACAACCCTAAGTTTAAGAGTCTCATTCTCCATCAGCTGAGCTATCCCATGACGTAAATGGAGGAGAGAAGTTCTCCTCCGCAGCCAACATGGGGAAGAAAACCAGGCTACTAACTTCCTAGCAGGATAGTTAAAAAAACGGCCTTTCACCAGATCCATCCCTCCAGCACCCTGCTTTATCTGCTTGCTGGCCAGGGAGTAACAGAAAGCAATCTCATTCTCCTTAGCCAGCCCATTCACTCGCCTGCATGGAATTCCTAGTCACCTCTGGTGACCAAATTACTGATCTGATGTCAAAGAGACCTGAAGGAACTCTTGTGTTGGAAAACTATGGTTCTCATGGGGAACACAGGATCAATACTGGGGGTAGGGTTTCCTGTTTTTGCTCTTATGGAGTAGCAAGGGTCTTCAAGTTTAGTTCTTTCTGTCATCCTTAACATCTTTCCTTTCTTCCTCCCCCCCCCAGTCATATTTTGTCTCGGACTATGACCCCACAATTGAGGACTCGTACACAAAAATCTGCAACATCGATGGCACCTCCACACGGCTGGATAGTGAGTATTACTGGGCTGGGGTCCTATTCAGGTGATGTGGAGGCTGCATGCAAATGTTTTGAGGGAGACAGAAGCTTGGGAGAACGTGATTCTAGCATTCTGCAATGGGCAGCATCCTTCCTTGGCATTGCTTATAAAGGGATGGAGGAACGTCAAGTGTATCATGATCACAGCTTTGTAGGAGGGGGCTTTGTTATGCTTTCCCCATCACCAGTGTCCTCCATCAGTGGTCAGATGAGTGGGGGACAACGACATTCAGTTTGTGTGACAAACGGCTCCATGAGAAGCAAATTGAGTAAGGGAAATTAGACAGAATGCATTGGGAGAGGAGAATCACCCAACAACAAAGGGAAGATTGGGAACAATATGATGTGAAGTGCCATATTGAGAGAGCTCAGACAGGTATAATGTCCCAAGTGCTTTATTGCAACAAACTCGCAAGAAAGCTGTCCCTTCCTGATGACATCATCTGATTGGACAGAAGGGTAGCCCATGCTACTACATGGAGGGTTAAAGATCTGGAAGCACTTATTGGGTGTGGGGGAACCATAAAGGAATTTGGAACAAATGTTTTTTCTCAAAGGTGAATAGGAGGTACATGTTTAGTAGGGGTGCGTGTCAATATCAGAAGGACGTAGGAATGAACGAATGAATCTTTATTTGCATCAGCCACCGGCCATAGCAACAAAACAACAATACAATATACAAAGAATAAAGATAATGATGTCATAATGCTTATGGCCTGGTCTGCAAATGTAGTGTAATGAGGTGATAAGAGTGAGTGTACCACTTTGAACTCCAGGTGAATGTACCAGTTCTGCACTTAAAACCACACTAACAACCAGTTCTGCACTTAAAACCACACTAACAATGACCCTAAACCAGGGGTCAGCAAACTTTTTCAGCAGGGGGCCAGTCCACTGTCCCTCAGACCTTGTGGGGGGCTGGACGATATTTTTTGGGGGGAAATGAACGAATTTCTGTACCCCGCAAATAACCCAGAGATGCATTTTAAATAAAAGGACACATTCTACTCATGTAAAAACACACTGATTCTTGGACCGTCCATTGGCCGGATTTAGAAGGCGATTGGGCCAGATCCGGCCCCGGGCCTTAGTTTGCCTACCCATGCCCTAAACTCTGTGGTTTCTCCCTCAGCTGATGGAAGGGGTGGTGCTGGTTGCTTCTTACTTGCAGGGAATATTTTGTTTGTCTGTTTTGATGTGGGAGAGCACATGAATGTAGGGCAGGGATTGCCAACATTGTGCCTTCCAAACATTTGTTGGACAACAGATCCCACCACCTCTGTCCATTATCCCAAGTGGCCATTCAGTATTTGCTTTCTACCCTTCTTGACTAGTCAGTCCAGTTCTAGGAGGAAATCTAATGATATGAATTGAGATATCATTAATATGCTATCATTATGCTTCATGTGGCCTTAAGCCCTAGTCATGCAACTATTTAGACACAATAGCACATGGAACAGATTTTCAAACTGGAACTGCATAGATCTTAATTATTGTGGAAAATATAATATTTTTGCAAAAGTCAATTTCATATCAATTTAACAGGCAGCCCTGTTTAGGGAAGTTTTTAATATTTAATGCTGTATTGTTCTTAACACTCGATTGGAAGCCGCCCAGAGTGGCTGGGGAAACTCAGCCAGATGGGCGGGGTATAAATAAGAAATTATTATACCGGTAATTATATTATTATTATTGGCCCTCCTGGCTGGGGCTGATGGGAATTGGAGTCCATCATATTTACCTGCCCCACACCTGGCATCATCTAGGGTAGGTGAGCATGGCTAGGCCAAGGCATCATCGCAGACCAAATGGGGAGGCTTGGTGGACCCAACCAGTCCCAGAGGGCCATCTCTTGTTTCACACCCATCACATTTGGAATGACTCAGATCTAATCTGCTTCCCTTATGCTTTCAGTTCTGGACACAGCTGGCCAGGAGGAGTTTGGGGCCATGCGAGAGCAGTATATGCGTACTGGGGAAGGTTTCCTCCTCGTCTATGCCATCAATGATCGTGGCAGGTAAGACCCAAGCCATGGTTACATTAGAAGGTCCTGTCCTCTCAGTCCAGTGGTCAAAGGATGGGGGGGGAAAGAACTTTCTGTGGGTTCTGAGTTGAGTTGGTGTGTTTTCTTCTGGTGCTTTTCTGAGGGGGTGTTTAATTTGTAGTTGGTTTAGAATGGTTGGCGCTTCGCTAGGACAGCAAGTTTTGATAATGCCAGGTACAACAAAACACCTCACCGTGCCTAATTAAACATCTACATTTACTTAAATGAAGTAACTGTTGCCAGAATGCTCAACAGGACTCTTATTTGTATATTTAAAACATGATATCCTGCATTTCACCACGTAGATCTCAAAAGCTGCTTACAGCAATAAAATACACAATATATGAAATTTAATTACAGGTAGGTAGCCGTGTTGGTCTGCTGTAGTCGAAACAAAATGAAAAAATTCCTTCCAGTTGCACCTTAGAGACCAACAAAGTTAGTTATTGGTATGAGCTTTCTGAAGAAGTATGCATGCACACGAAAGCTCATACCAATAACTAAGTTGGTCTCTAAGGTGCTACTGGAAGGAATTTTTTTATTTTATGAAATTTAAAACATTAATAAAACCTCAATTAATTATGAGGTTATAACATGCACATTTAATCATTTTTAAAAGATGCAAAGATCTAGTTTTGGAATAAAACAGTTTTGCCAGTTAATAGCTTACGTTGCACACATACTCTGCAGAATATTTTATATTGTTTATCCTCACAACATCAAAGCAGACTGTTCTAATTTCCATTTTACAGCTGGGGAAACTGAGACTGAGAGTAACCTATTCTAGTCTGTCCAGTAAGCTTACAGTTAAGAAAGGATTTGACCCTGGGTTACCCACACCTGTTTTCTCGTTCCCCTAACCTTAGTAGTTTTTAACCAAACTTAGAACAGTGTCCTTTTTAGGGAGCATCTTACTGAAAAGTCTCACCTGTGTTCTTTGCCTCTCTGCTACAGTTTCAATGAGATCCACAAGTTTCACACTCAGATACTTCGAGTGAAAGACCGTGACGACTTTCCCATGATCCTTGTGGGGAATAAGGCTGACCTAGACCTTTATCGGCAGGTGAGCCTTCCATAGCATTCAATCACTTATCGTGATAACAGTCTCTGCATTGGTGGGACTCTGCGGTGGTACATGAGTCGATAATGTTTTGAATCCTCTCTCTGCAGTCTCAATTTGGGAAACCCATATAGACCTGGGTGAGAATTAAGATAAATGTGTAATGCCTTGCTCTAGGGAGGTTTGGCAAGGCATGAGCTTGAGAGACAAGGCCTTCTTTGTGGTGGCGCCACAACTCCTGAATGCTTTCCCAATTTTATTTCATCAGGCTCCCTCTGTGTTTTGTCAGAGATGGGATGCACTTCTATTTTGATGGGGGATTTTGTGTGTGTTTCACACCCAGTTTTATCGTTGCTGGTTGTAATGGATAATAGGGAGAAGGAACCGTCAGGCCTCCATATGTTGTTGGACTGTAACTCCCATCATCCCTAGCTATTGGCCATGCTGGCAGGGGCTGATGGGAACTGGAGTCCAATAAACATGTGGAAGGCCGCAGGTTAAGCCATCTTTGATTTAACATCTTTTGCTGCTGCTGCATTTGTTTTTGCTCTGCTGCAAGTTCTGACTACATGATGCTAAGCCAAAACATGGCTTAGGGTGAATGTGCAGGTGGGTGCACTTCTACAGGGAAATGATGACCACTTTGTTCCTCCGGCGCTCGTTCTGCTGTTGCCCTGAGCTGAGCTGTGATTTCCCTTAGCAGGTCTTCCAAATCTGGGCAACGAATATAATACAGTGGTACCTCGGGTTACAGACACTTCAGGTTACAGATACTTCAGGTTACAGACTCCGCTAACCCAGAAATAGTACCTCGGGTTAAGAACTTTGCTTCAGGATGAGAATAGAAATCACGCAGCATCAGTGTGGCGGCAGTGGGAGGCCCCATTAGCTAAAGTGGTACCTCAGGTTAAGAACAGTTTCAGGTTAAGAACGGACCTCCAGAACAAAATAAGTTCTTAACCCGAGGTACCACTGTAAATGACAATAAATAAAATTGAATAATTGCCATTCCCTGGCTGTTTTATATGGTGCGCAGGGAGCAGTGTTGTATTTGACCCAGTTGGTCTCCAAAATTAGGAGAGCTTGGCTGAGAGAAAATTAATCTTTTGTGAGCAGCCATGAGTGGGGAGTATTTGGCTGCCACGAGGCACCTATGCCTCCTTACATGCCCCTTCACTATCTCCACATTTCCAGTTCCCTTAAAAATGTGGGGCAGGGGTCAGAAATGAGGTGGATGTGGGATGCTGTGCAACCAAACATTACAACTACCCATTGCCAGCCGCCATTTTGTTTTTCTCCTTTTGCTCCCTCCCTCCCACTACCGCAGCTACACTCTTCTGCCATGTAACGGTATCCATTGCTATTTCTCATCGCTGCTTTTCCTATTCAGGTACCCAAGGAGGAGGCCCTCAGCTTTGCCCGGGAGAATCGGATCCCGTACATGGAAGCCTCTGCCAAAATCCGCCTCAACGTGGATGAATCTTTCTATGAGCTGGTCAGGGCCATCAGGTAAGAGGACAGGTGACTTGCTGGATGTACTGTGTCTTAACACGACTACGTCGGTTGCTTTGAGACAATTTTTTTTGCAGCGGTGTCAAATACAGTGGTACCTCGGCAGTCGAATGGAATTGGTTCCGGAAGTCCGTTCGACTTCCAAAATGTTCGGAAACCAAGGCACAGCTTCCGATTGGCTGCAGCAAGCTCCTGCAGCCAGTCGGAAGCCGTGGAAGCCCCATCGGACGTTTGGATTCCAAATGTTTGCAAACCGGAACACTCCCTTCCAGGTTTGTGGCGTTTGGGACCCAAAATGTTCGACTCGCAAGGTGTTTGGGATCCAAGGTACGACTATATAATGACTAAGTAAATACTGTAATAAAATTGGCTCCCCAAAGCCTGGGGGAAGCAGTTTCCTTTGATAATAACGTCAATATGGAGGCCGTTTGTGGCTATTTGTACTGTATTTCATTATTTACTTTAACCTGGTGCCCTCCAGATGTTTCAGATTATTGGGTTGTCTTTGTTTTTGTTTTTATTATGTATCCAGTGTTTTTATTTTGTAATTTATGTTGTGAACAGTCCTGAGATCTATAGGTATAGGGCCGTACACAAATTTAATAAATAAATGAAATACTACTACTGCTGATAATAATAATTTAGACTACAGCTTCCATCAGCCCCAGCCAGCACAGCTTGATGAAAGTTGATTTAATATATATTAAATGCCCTTAGCCTAGGGGTAAACAGATTTGAGTCTTGTGGTATCTACTTTTACTAGATCCTCAAGATCCAACAATTAGAGCCTTGCTAAATTTGGCCACCAAGTTCAGGGGTACCCAATACGGTGTTATTTTAGATGTTAAGACTTTAACTCTCATCAACCTTGACCAAAAGCCATGGTGGCTGATGGGAATTGTAGTCCAACAACAACTGGAGGGCTGCCTGTGACCTAGTCATAGAGTAAAATTGTAGAGTTGGGAGGGTCATCCATCCCACCCACCCCTGCAATCTCAGAATTTATGAGAAAAACTTGCATTTTCCTAAAAATCTGAGGTGATAAGAGCTATGCTGCCTTATTTTTGCTATACAGTCATACCTCGGGTTGACGTTGCTTCAGGTTGAGCGTTTTCGGGTTGCGCTCTGTGATGACCCAGAAGTAACGGAATGAGTTACTTCCGGGTTTCGCCGCATGCGCAGACTCTCAAAATGACATGCGCAGAAGCGGCGAATCGTGACCTGTGCATGCGCAGATGTGGGTTGCGTTCTGCTCTGGATGCGAACGGGGCTCCGGAACGGATCCCGTTCGCATCTAGAGGTACCACTGTATTCTCTCTCTGCTTCCTGTCCCAATTTTCACCTCTTTCCTCTTTCGATTTGCAGGAGGTTTCATGAGCTGGAATCCCCCCCTGCCCCGGCTGTCAGCCCTAAGAAGAAAGAAAGCAAAGGCTGTCCTTGTTCCCTGCTGTAAACTGCCTTCCCACACCAAGCTACAAAGCCCGGAAAGGGAAGAAGAACTGCTCAGGTTCCCTCCTAAGGAGTGGACGCGGCAGGATTTCTCCCTTATCTCCACCTCCCCACACCTCTCACCCCCCTCACCTATGCAACAAGGGCTGGCAATGTGTATTCTGCAGTTGTGTCCAAATACTACAATACGTCTGGCGCAGAGAGTTCCTGCAAACTGGAACAGGTCAGGAAGCAGATAAATCATGTACCCCCTCAACACCCACTAAATAGGCAGGAAATAGGTTATATACGTGATGACTGGGATGAGGTGCGGGAAGAGTACTCAGTGCCTTCCTATCCTGTTCCCCCACCTTTCTCTGTTGTGTCTTCAGAGAAAACTGGCAAGAAGGGGAATCTCCTACACCAGGGGGTAGGAGCAGAGGCGGATTTGGGGCTTTCAGAGATGCCAAAATTTGGTGCTGTGCCCCCTGCCTCAAATCCCAGTGCGGGTGAACCGGTCACGCTTCTCTAAATCTGCCCGTGGTAGAAGGCAGAGCAATTTGAGAAATGTGGCTTCATGGGTTTAAATCCGGAAAGAATAGGATAGTCTGGTTTTAGGATGGGTGAGAGAGTGGGCAGGAAAACGAGGGGCTCAGACTCTTCAATGTAGCCAGAGCCAGCCAGCTTTTTGCACATACACACTTTTATGTACATGTTCAAAGCCGTATTGTACAAACGCATCTAAAGGGGTGTTATCTATTTTTTAAAAAATCACAGCCATCATTATGCACAGCACATGATTAATAGGAACAGTCAATACAAATTTAAGCAAGGAATTTTTAAAAAATTTTTTGCAACCCTCCAGCTGCTTTGGACTACAACTCCCATGAGCCCCAGCCAGAACATATGCTAGCAGCGGCTGATGGGAGTTGTAGTCCAAAACAAAAATAGGTTAGCAGCATCACATTACAGTAGGGGACCCAAAGAAAATCTTTTTTAAAAAAATCAAGTTTTGTGGGGAGGGTGCCCCCCCCACAAAAGTCTGGGACAGGGGGTTGAATGAACCCCATGGGCTAACTACCCATTTTAGATCCTCTACCTGCCACCTAAAGAGCAAATGGGCATAATGAAATTAAATCCTGCCCAAATGCAAGGCACACCCCCCCCCCGCAAGCAGTTAAGGGATGTGTGTGGTCACTTCTGCTGATTCCCCTGCCATCGTGCTGCAGATCATTCCAGCCTGTTAAACACCAAAGAGTTACCACCTATTCAAGCACCATCATCTTGTGGCACTTTAAATACGAACAGATTTATTATGGCATAAGCCATCCTTGAATAGAGTCCGCATTGTCAGCTGTAGGAAGTCTTCTCTGTTGGCAATTATATGTAATCTACACACACACGGTACAGAGGGGTGGGTTTTTTTTGCAAACGGTGGGGCCAAAGGGCCATGAAATGTTAGGGTAGGAAGCTGTGAAATTCTCACGTACCCAGAAGTGGTTTTGAATAAAAGGGAGTCATTCCCAAATCAGTGTGTGTTGCTGTTTGTGGTGGCGGCACAAAATTGGGCGGGTCAGGCAGCAGGCAGCACTGAGTAGGCTATGGAGACATTCAGGCTATAATCCGATACACACTTACCTGAGAAACAAGTTCTCCTTGAACTCAGTGGAACTTTCTTCCAAGTAGACATTCATGGGACTGCATTCAGTGTGGTCTCTTGGATATGGTCCATCCACATTTAAAGGGTGAGCAGGCTGCCTTGGGAGTCTCAGGATGTAGCCAGTGGAGCAGGAATGGGGAATCGGTGGCCTGCCAAACACGTTGGATCCAGCTCACACCAACCGTGGCAAAAATGGCTAACGGTGAGGTGCGATGGGCGCTCGGGTCAACAGGACTTTAGTGACCAGCATAGGTGCTCAAGGTGATCTATCCATGATCAACCTACACCTGAGGGATGGAGGACAGACAAAAGGAAGTCCTTCACAGGGCACACCACTGAACTATGGCATTTGGGTGGCTTTAAGAGAGGATTGGACAAATTCATGGGTGGGCCCTAAAACACCTGTAACTTGAAACTTAATGGAAAGACTGATCCATATCCTCAGGCAACAGTGTTTTGAGTCTCAACTTCTTCTGTATTCTAATTCCTGAAGAAAAGAAAGGTATTTGTACTGCAAATAAAATCAAACTCGGGGCAGGTACTGGTGATGCTGTCCTTTGTTGTGATCTTTCTTTCAGAAGTGAATACTGGGTTAAAGCAGGGACACAATTACTAGACTTTTGGAGATTTGGGGTGGAAAAACCTATCTGGAGCAAGGAATGGGGTTTCCAAAGTCTAAACCAGTTCCCCAAACTTGGGTCTCCAACGGTTTCTGGACTACAGTTCCCATTATCCCTGACCACTGGTCCTGCTAGCTAGGGATGATGCGAGCTGTAGTCCAAAAACAGTGGGAGACCTGAGTTTGGGAAACGCTGGTCTAAACGGACTTAGATTGCTTTATTTAAGCCAGAGATTGTGCATTCGTTAGGCAGAGACCGAACCAAAATGGGGGACAAACCTCTAGGACATGGGAAATTTTTGGCCCTCCAGATGTTGCTGAACTACAACTCTCAACTGCACCAAGGAGTTGTAATTCAACATCTGGGTGGCCAAAGGTCCTGCCCCCTGCTCTAGAATTAAGAAGCCAGGTCTCCTGGGTGTCTCTCACTGTCCAAACTGATCACTGCAAATGAACCCTCCCCTGCCACCCCAAAAACAAGGAATAAAGCTGTACAGCAGGCATTTGATTTTTGCAAAGAAAAGTGTTTTTTGTCATTTTGTTTGTGTACACAGTATACAATGTGAGTTTTACATATTGAGAGAAAAAAACGTCTCAGACACTAATAATAAACAATAAAAATATATAGGAACATCCAATAATACAGAACACAAATCCCATTATCTCAGAACAATACCCTTGAGGCGCGAACAAGATACACAGAAATACACATCGTAAAAAAGGGGGCCTTCCAAGATCCAAATTTGGGGCGGGTGGGGGAGGAGGAGGAGAAGTCTTTTCGTCACAGGAAGCTGTGGGGTGTGTTTGTGTGTGTGTGTGCGTGCACACACATTCTTAAACAACTCTGAGCTGGGCCCTTCCAATTCTGGTGCACAGGGTTTGGGCTGCTTGGCCCCTCCGTCCAGGGGGCAAACGCCTTAGCAAAATTTTGCATGAAATTGATGGTGCAAGTCTGTCATTCCAGGAGGTATCGAGGCTCTGAATGTCCCTCGAAAACAAACCACGTGTATGTCCCCCCATCCCTTTGTTTCCCAAACCCCATGTTCAACTTACTAACCCCACCTCCACACACAGGTTCAAGCTACAGTCCGTCGCCTCTAAGGCCCAACAGCTATCAGTAAACCGGGTTTGCAAGGGGAAAAGCTGTTAAAAACTAAATTGCAAACTTTTAAAATATCCAAAAGGAAGCCAGTCAACCCTCTTCCCCCTTTAAAAACACTCCATTCTGAGTGCAGCTCATGTACACCAAGTTCCACCCCCCTCCATGCACTCTCACAATCACACTTGCCAACCTCTACTCATCCACAATAAATAATTAAGGGGAAAGGGTAGGATCCAGGGGGATGTGGAGAGTTGTGTGTATATAAGGGACCCTGATCTAACACAGCCAGAAGGGCCCCCAACACATTTTTGTGCTGTCCAGAAACTTAACTGAAGAAGCTCTGCTGGGGCAATGGAACCAACCCCTCTTCTGAGGTGGGATCTGTTTTCTCCTCCACCCTAGAGTACCTTTTTTGCACTTCCTCCATGGGAAGTGTGTGGGAATCATGATAAAAATCAAACCGGTGGGTGGGTGCTTTCAGCACCCCCTGCAATGCCGGAATATGCAGCTGCCCCATATGGGGATCAAACCTGCAACCTTTTGACGGTAGAGAAAAGCAAAGAAGAAACAAAAACAGAACCGTGGGGAGACTGGGCTGGTACAGAGAAATCAGAAGTAGTCTCGGGGAGTGGGAATGAGGTAGACGTTGGTTGGGGGGGGGGCGGGAATCTGATCTAGCAGGGGAATCTACGTGGAGATGTGAGATGGATCTGGGAGGTCACTAGGAAAACCCAAAGGAGAAAACATGCCGAGGTGGAAACTGGTTAACTGGCTGGGCTATGGGTGATATATGAGAGAGGCTGGCTGAATGACCGGGTTGGGCTGCGAGCGGAAAGTGTGTGAAACAGGGCAAGGACCTAATTGTCTATCTAAAGAGAGTTTATTTTAGCATTTCAGCTCAGGGTTAGAGAGGGATCTTTGCTTAGGAGGCTGCGGGGACACAGAATCTCCCTTCCCCCTCAATAACAACAACAACAATAATAATGGTGATTAAAAATAATAATAACGACCTCCTAATGAAAAGTTTCAGTCCAAACCAAATAACGTCACAGCTACAGGTGAGGAGAGAGAGAAAGAGAGAGAGAGAGAGAGAAACTCCTGCGTATCGTTAAGTTCAAGTTAGTCAAATACAATATGATACATAGACTTTTTATCCTATACAGTATATACAGCTGAGGGGAGGGATGGGGAGCAGAATCCTGCCTTGTCAAACACCACGAGGAAGGGGGTGGAAGGGAATTATCCTTTCCTCAAAGGAGCTCAGTTCTAAGAAAAGCACAGAGGGACATAACTACGGCCTAGTGCACCCCTTTCCGTGATCCGTGTGAGGGCCAGTTGAGAAAGTCTGAACAGTCTTTTTTTAAAAATGGGGGGAAGTGGTAGGGATGGGAAGGAGAGAGATTTAGGGAGCCTTGATACAGACAGGTTGCTATGGGTGTCGCTATGCCCCCCCCATTTACGGTTACCTATTCAGAAGGGTTATGGGTGGAGAGATGCTCCACACGTCCCAAAGAGCTAGAACCCCAAACTTGGCGGCAAAAAGAAAAGAAGGGGGGAGAGTGGCAGGTCCACCAGCAGCAATCGCCCCCACGAAATTGTCTGAGTGAAGAAGGAAGGTGCTCCAGAGACAGCCTGCGGGAGTGGGTTGGGGGGGGTGGCTCTTTGCAACCGTTTGGTTGGGAAGGGGCAACTTGGCAATAAATATTCCTGTTGGAAGCAATAACAGAGGCAATCGCTGTGAGTGTGTGAGTGGAGTGCCTCTCCCCAGCCTCAACTCAAAGCAACAGTTTATTTGGCAGAGATGGGATGAGAGTTGTCTGTGGGCAGGGAGAGGAAGTGGGGTCTCATTGCCTGGTCAGACTGTGGTTAAAAGGATCTGGGCACTGTGCTAAGGGTGGCTAAATACACCCCCTGCCACACACACACTCGGCTTTCCCTAGGGAGAAGCAGAAGTTCCTGATGGACAAGATGCAGGACGGTACCTTGGACCCTCTTGTGTTTATTCACGCTGCCCGCCAAAACACACGCGTCCCCATTCCCACCCCGTCACCCCGATGAAACCTACGGCTCCTGGATCCCATCCCCACAAGCTCCAGATCCCGGCACCAACACTCCTCTGACCTTCCTATGGGGGTCCTCCTACTCTCTGTCCCCACCAGAGCAGGGGGCGAGGCTGCTCCAATTAGACATTTATACATTTATATATAAATAATATTTCTCTGTACAGCCAGGGCAAAAGGGAAAGGGGGCTGTCCAGCCATCCGCTCCTTTTGATGAGAACCCTCCTCAACGTGTGCTCTCTGCCATCACAAACCTCCCGCGCACCCCACCACCCAAAATAAAAAGAAAGAGGCGCATCCCAGGTCCTGATTTTTTTAAAAAAGAAAAGAAAACCTGAAAAGGGAAGGGGTGGTGGTGGTGATGGTAAGCTGAGTCTGAACTCGTTGCCTGTGATGGTACCCCTCGACCTTCCTCTCCCCACTTCCTGCTCTGGCTCTGCAGAGGGGCGGGCGTTAGGTGGCCCCTCCCGGGGCGTGGCTCCGGCGGCTGCGTCACGCACATTTGCTCTGTGCCTGAGTCAGCAACTCGCTGAAGGAGTCAAACAGTTTCTCCAGCCACGGCTGGTTGCGCATGCACTGCTGCACCACTTCTTCCTGGCCCAGGTCCTCGTCCTGACCCTCGATCGCCGTTGTCTGCAGAAGGAGAGACCCACCCGCCACCCAAGAGAAGGACAAAACGTTAGCTAAGAGGCTTCATTACGCGCGCACACACGTGGGCAGCACGGGACTCACGGGGCTTATGAAAACAAACGGATTCCGCAACCAGGCGAACCAAATTCTGCAACCCGAAAAAAGCCAAGTTGTGTTTCGTTTGTTTATAAAAATATTTATATAGCGCTGTGTCGTAAAAACGTAGCACAATGGTTTACAGCACCATAAAAACATAGTCAAGCAATAAAGTCATAAACAAGTTAGAAGCAAAAGGAAGTTGAAAGCAAACATCAAGAGACCCTTGTGTGCTCTTGATTGTCTGCATAGGCTTGGGGGAATAGAAAAGTTTTCAGCAGGCACTGAAAAAGCTGGCATGGAAGGCGCCCGTATGAGTTATGCACCTTCATGCCATTCCTCACTCCCCTCGCCCCTCAATAATTTCATAGAATCATAGAATTGTAGAGCTGGAAGGGTTCCTGAGGATCATCTAGTTCAACCCCCTACAATGCACAAGTTTATCCTTGATTTGTTAGATATAGGGGTAGCACAAAAGTAATGCAAACCACCCGTGGCAGATCCCTCTAGCCACTGGAAATCCTATCCTACCTCCTCTGGCTTTTTAGATTTTACTAGGCCATGATCACAAAGTTACAAGGATATCTTTGCAACAACAGGGAAAAGAAACTCCCCCCCCTAAAAGTAGTAGCTGAATTCTGAACCCAACGTTTTGCACCTCTATGATCTGCACACCCATTGGCATTCAACTAGGTTCTCCTCAGAGTAGAACCACTGAAATTAATGGACCTAATTTAGCCGTGTTCGTTAATTTCAATGGGTCTAACTCTGAGTAAACCTTAACTGAATACCATGGATAAGTCAACAGAGTATAAGACTCTTAATTTCAGGATTGTGGGTTTGAGTTCTACTTTGGGCAAAATGTGTCCTGCACTGCAGGGGGTTGGAAAAGATGACCTTCTGGGTCTCTTCCAACTCTACAGTTCTATGATTCCACATTGCAATGGGAACCTGGAAGAATGCACCCCACCAAACAGCTCCATGAGTTTGACTGAGCCTTGCAATTTGATCTCTTTCTCCTCAATGCAAGGGACACCCTGC